TGATACTGATCTTTCGGAAAGTGAAAATGAAGGAAGTTTATGTCCAAATGCTAATGATCCATCACTCCCATTAAAAACATTGAGAGGGGAGCTTGCAACCTGGGCAACAAAAAACAAATGCTAACGTACTGCTGTAAATGAGCTACTTCAAATTCTTTGAGGGCAGGGGCTTTGCCTTCCTAAAGACAGTCGCACCCTTTTGCAAACCCCCCGTGAAGTAATTACTTCATCTAAGTGTGGTGGGCAATATGTATACCTGGGAATTGAAGCTCGCATAATTGATATTCTCTCAAAAAATCCATCATTAATAGAAAAGCACACTACAGTTGATTTGATGATCAATGTGGATGGGCTGCCATTGTTTAAATCTTCCACTTCCCAATTCTGGCCTATTTTAGGTTATTTTAATAAGGTTGAAGTCTTTATTATTGCACTCTTTTATGGTAATTCTAAACCAAGTTCTGTGGGTGATTATCTTAATGATTTAATCAAGAAGCTTGATAAATTAAAGATTTGTGGTGTAAATTTTGAAGGAAGGCAACTTCCCTTTAATCTGAGGTGTTTCTGTTGTGAAGCTCCTGCAAGGTGCTTTTTAAAAGGCATAGTTGGTCACACAGGCTATTTCTCTTGTGAGCGGTGTAGAATTAAGGGGTCATGGAATGGCAAAATTGTGTTTAATGATGATGTTGTCTTTGCACCAAGGACTGATGTGGAATTTTCGAATTTTAGGTATGATCACCACCAAAAAAGTGCTTGCCCCCTAGCTTCACATGGTGTTTCATGCATTAAGCAGTTTCCACTTGACTATATGCACCTTGTATGTTTAGGTGTTACTCCGCGCTTGCTTACTTTCCTTAAAAATGGGCCAAAAATTTGCAAGCTGTCTTCCAGACATATGCTGCAAATATCCAAGAGCATGATGTTGTTACATGGAAACATGCCAAGTGAATTTGCAAGACAACCTAGGTCGTTGGTTGAACTTGATCGCTGGAAAGCTACTGAGTTTCGCCTGTTTCTTCTTTATACTGGGCCTGTTGTGTTGAGAGGCATTTTACTAGATAGACTATACCAGCACTTTCTTTCTCTGTCTATTGCTATTTCCATAATGCTTGATATGAATACTGCCAAGCAAACCTCGTATCTCCAGTATGCAAGAGAGTTAATAACTCATTTTGTAAGCAAATGCAAGTCTCTGTATGGTGATACCTTTGTGGTGTACAATGTACACAACCTTCTCCATTTGCCCGATGATGTTGAATATTTCCATGTTTCATTAAATTAAATATCATGCTTTCCCTTCGAGAACTTTATGCAACAATTGAAGCGACTTGTTCGAAGTCCCCAGAATCATATTGCCCAGGTTGTTAAAAGACTGGCAGAACTGAAGCACTCTGTACAAAAACAACAATGTGATTGGCGCTACACGCATATCGCTACCAAATTGAAGGATAGTTGTTTTATGCTGAAGGACAACACTTACGTATTTGTTGTTGACTGCGAAGATGGGAGTGAAAGACTTGTCTGTGAGGTAGTATCTGAACGATGTACTCAGAGCTTCTTCCATATCCCAGCTGATTCGAAATTATTTAACATAGTGTATATTGAGAACTCGTCACGAAGAGGAAAAAGACGCCTTGTGGAAAAATTCGAAACTCTACAAAAAGCTGTTTGCCTTCCATACCGGTCAGGATTTGTCATTTTCCCAATGCATCACGAGGTCGAAAGATACCGATAGTCCTAATCCTACTCCAGGTAAATTAATGCAGTAGACCTGTAATTAATGCAGTAGGCCTTAAATAGAAAGTTTTGTGCAGCCTTTGGAGAGGAAAACTATTTGAAATTTAGCGTTCTAGTATACAACTGAGTAAAAGAATAAGTTAAAACTCGCCGTATGACGTTTAATGTTGTCAACCATGTTAAACAATTTTGAATTTTTTTGAAAAAGTAATGTACCCATCATTTACAGGCTGCATGTTACGGCATATAGTGTCCGTTAGACAGAGTCTTTCCAATTGAAGTATAGCTAAGGGGATTCCCCAGCTGGGCATATACTGCAAAATTTTCATTTCTGATGAGAAAGTGCATTGCGTTTGACTTAATACTTTCAGTGTTTCCTTTATGAAACTTATCAATGATTGAAACTATGAGACATGATCGACCTAAATAAAAGTCTTTACTGTATGTAAAGAGTGTCAATGATGTTAGGATAAAATATTTCATATTGGTATAGCTTTATGATATTTATGCAAAAGACTTTCCCAATTTACGTATAAGGGACAAAACATTTCTTTTCTGTTAAAAGCTTGCCATATACTGTACATGTACATAGAATAGTCTGTCTTTATAATAAAAAATCAGTAAGTTCCTTTTTCCTTTTTTGTTCCTGTTTCATTTTCTGTTTTAGGAATGTGGGTAAGAGCCGTTTGGCAGGAGGGAAAAAAGCAACACGAAGGCGTTGTTCCAGATGTGTGGATTCAGAACAATAATGTAAGATGGCCATCTGGATTGAATGTAATAAAACCTCATGCTGAAAGACAAACACCGTGTGCAGACTGGAAAACCTTTCCACTTATTAAAATAAAATGTTCCGCAGGTCAGTCATTTGATTATTGATATAAACTATTTTCCTGCAATTTTCATTCCCAATGACGATAAGGTGGATATTACTTCATGAAAAAGGAAACACGTGAGCGGTATTATAAATAACTTAACAAATAACGTTGCAGCAACAGAGTTATGCGTATGTATTTCAAAGCATGTACTGTATTTCCAGTTGTTCCCTATTGAATTTGTATTTTTTTAAACCAGATAAGAAACAAGTTTGTGAAAAATATGATTTTACGACCACGGCTGAAGGAAGTGATGGTGATGATGATCATGAAGTATATGAGAAAGAGAACGCAATTTGAAGGAAAAAGAGTCGAAAAGGTTAGCAATTACAATATATACAATAAACTTACCACATTATATTTTTATTCATAGTATTATACACAATATTCCTTTCATAATAATATGTGTATAAAGTAAGTTATTTTTTCTATTTGGCATACTTATATTTTTTGTATTTTGCAGGAAAACAAATCCTGGACTCGTCAGACAATAATTCTGATTGTGATGGTGAAGATGCTAACTGTATGTATTAGAGTCAAAACCTAATCCATCGAGTATACTTTGTGCTTACATTCTATTTTTTTCGCTCTACAGTACCTAATAATGCAGTAAAATAAATCTGTGATACTGCATGAATCAAAAACTTAGTCATTAAACTTTTTCTAGTTCTTAGTGAGGCTTATTTACTTTTTAGCAATACCAGAATTCCCACCTCCACCAAAAAAATTTATTTCAACAATGAACGATTCGAGAATCCAGTTCACATCAAAGAGTCCAAGAATACCACGGTCAAGATCGAGAAGCCCTCTTCGAGAACAACAGAATAGCTGTTACAGACCACGGAACAAACAACACAATGAGCTGATCACAATGAACAAACGTAAGCTTATCGCATTTAACTTCTCGTAAAAAATATATATTCTATACAGAAGATCATCATTTAAAATACTATAGATTTTAGAACCAAATTTTTTTTTTTTTCTCCTGTTTCACTAATGTTAGACTTCTTTTCATCAACACCCAAAACACATTCTGCATCGAACTCCAAAAGAAAGTCAAGACCCAGAATGCGTTCGAGATCGAGAACCACCTCAAGGTCGCACTGCAGAACGAGGTCCAAACCTTCTGGGTCAGAGAAACAAAGTTTCTCTGGAAAGAAAAAGACCCCAGAAAACTGCAGATCCAACAGTGGACCATTACTTTCAGGAGCTGCAGGTAAAGCAATAATGATGTGATGATTGTATGCTGGGGCATTTGAGTTCATAAACAACAATATAAAGTTATATTTTGACTCGCTCAGTTCACGCCCATTTTGGTTTGAATATCATGGCTGAAGAACACAGAAATAATTGTGCTTGTTGATGCATCAGCGATGTGAAGCCTTATTTCGTTTGCTGTTGGTACTTATTTACGTGACAATATTATCGTCTTAAAGTTTAGAGCGATATTCTTAATCCTTTTTCCTCGGACAAAATGCCTCCCACGCAGCCTGCTTAAAAACTTGTTTCCTGTGCATTTCAGATATTCTTGCATCAATTTTCCCGGATGTAACAAGAAGATCACGATCAAAAACAAGATTTAGATTGAGTTCCCGGTCAAAAACAAATTACAGAACGAGATCACAGTCAAAGACCAGCTCAAGATCCAGAAAGAGATCCAGATCCAGAACAGGGTACAGACCTGCTCAGTCAGCACCACGAGTAGACAGGGAAACTTTGGCGGGGAAGAACATCTTCTTAGAACATCTTTCTTCATCTTTCTTCTCAGTCGTTTCTGCAATACCGCATTCGTAATAATGTTTCAAGTACACCTTCCTGTTGTGTTGTGCTTGCTACTTTTGTTGCATTAACCGACAGTGAGGTCTTTACGGGAAAGTATTTCTTATTCCACCTTTCTTAAAGTGTTTCGTGATTATTTTGATTATTTCCGTAAAGAATAGTTTTCAATGATTTTGTGTTTCTTTTTACTGGTTTCGCAGGTGAAACAAGCTGTACAGCAACTGCTGAAGTACGCTCCAGATAGGCAAGGAGGAGGTGGACGAAAAGACACTGCTTAAATTTACTTTGCGACAATTTAGTAGTTCGTCAAATATTTATGTCTGTTTTTAATTGTACATTGGATTATTTTGTAATACGGTCATAGGATACACATTGTTGTAATAATATCAAAATGAAATAAAGTAGCTATTTTATTACCAAAATACACTTTTTCTGCTGACTTATGCTTCAGAGCTATATAGACGCGTCGTAAATATTGACAGTCATTTCAACGTTGATAATTGTGGTCGTTTCAACATTGAAACGATGTTTTTTCCGACATTGAAACGACGTCTTTTTCCAACGTTGTTTCGACATCGTAAAACCACGTTGATCCAATTTGCGTTTTCAACCTTATTTCGACGTCAGATAGACGTCGAAAATCAACGTTGATTCAACGTTGAATCGACGTAACTTTGCCCGCTGGGCATTATCATAAATTGGCCTGAGATTCTTCACATAGATGTTGGCCATCTCTTTAACATCGTCTCTCCAGAATAATTTGGCCCGGCCAAGAGAAGAGGTTTTGTGCTGCGTTGTTTTCGTGCGGAAAAGTCGGTCTTCAGTTTCCTGACTAATTCTCACAGCTCCCTGGTAGTCCTGGAGAGATAAGTTAGAAAGTGCCTTGTATCGTTGCGCACTTCCCATGGCGACACGTAGCATGATGAAGTCCCGCATCTTTGCAAAATCTGTTTGGCTGATTTTCTGCGGATTTTCTTTTGCCATATTAAACAACCGTTTTATCTTTCTTGCCACATCGCCGTCTGTCAGAATTTTAAATTCTTCGGGAGAAAGGATTTCTTTCTGGTCTTTCTCCCTAACTTCCATCCGCTGTTTAGGTGTTTATTAACGCGACAAACCATAGCCTCACAATCTGGCACGGGGCATTTGATTGGCGGCACCCGTTGCTTAGCACCTTTTTTCACCGCCATTGCACCAGATGTTTTATGAGGTACTTTACCCCTTTGCCACACTTTGAGCATGGCTTTTCCCTTCGTTCTTGTACCTGAGAAAAGATTTCATAGTTTTATATTTATATTATATGCCCATTTATTTTATATGCCCAAACCACAAATTCTTAAGAAAAAAAATGAATACCTTTTTCTTCTCAGTCTTTTCTTCATTTTGTGAAGAACGGTCCACGACCTCGCCATCATCAATCTCTTCCTCCATATCTTGCTTATCTGGGAAAAGGTCTGCTGACCCTGGTTCATCATCCATCTGTAGAAAAAATTTCATAAATTTTGAAATTAAAAATGGTTTATTTTATATTTATATTATATCCCCATTTATTTTACATGCCCAAACCACAAATTCTTAAGAAAAAAATGAATACCTTTTTCTTCTCATTCTTTTCTTCATTTTGTGAAGAACAGTCCACAACCTCGCCATCATCAACCTCTTCCTCAATATCTTGCTTATCTGGGAAAAGGTCTGGTGACCCTGGATCATCCATCTGTAGAAAGCAATCATAAAAAATATTTAACTAAAAAACAGGAAATCACTGTGTCCCCTGGTGGGTGACCACGCCCTAAGTACCCCACCCAAGTTTTGTCAAAGTCTGTCAAGACTTTTCAACTGAAACATGTAAAATACATGATCCACTAAAAGACCACCCAAATCAACTGAAGGACCACCCAAATCCACTGAAGGACCACGACCCACTAAATGACCAGCGACCGGAAGTGGGCGTGAATATGGGTGGGTGACCACGCCCTCATCTCCTCCCCGGAATATGGGTGGAGTTGGTAAAAACCCCCTTGAGATACACCTGTCAAAAGTTTTAAAAAAATTAAATAAAATACTTAATTCGCTTCTAACCGGAAGTGGGCGTGGCCCCTGGTGGGTGACCACGCCCTAAGTACCCCACCCAAGTTTTGTCGAAATCGGTGTAAACCGCCCTGAGATATCACTGCCCGCAGTTTTAGGCGACGCCTCATTAACTATAAAAAGCCACTCAAGGACCACGGAAGGAGGTCCAGGCTTGTCACTGAGATCAGTGGGTGGTGATTTGATTGACAACCATTTCGTATTTTTGATATATACAATTTTGCCAACAATTAGTAGCGAAGCCAGCCTGCCGATTTGTCCCGCTATGCTAATATGTAGGTTTCATTGACTGTGAAAACAATAAATTTCTAAAGAAATGAATAATTATAATAACTCGAAATTTACATAGCAGGACAAAATCGTCAGGCTGGCTACGCCACTGCCAACAATATCGCAAATATTAAACTAATTACACGTTAAATTTTAATAAAAACATGATCATACATACCTTAAAAGTGTTACCATTGGTAACAACTTTTTCACCCACACAAAAAAAAAATCGCAATTAAATACACTCTTGTCACAACACAACAATAGATCGTCAACTTTCAAAACAACTTTCACTATTGTTTCACTATTGGATACACCAGAATGACATATTCCACTTAAAAAAACAAAATTCCTTAATATTAAAAAATGAAAAATTCAGACATTTTGACTAATAACTCAGGTTCTATAAATTCCCCCGCCATGACATGCATATCATTAGATTCCTCTTAGTGAGAGGAATCTTTTGATGGCTCATACATAGCTGTACATAGTATATTTCTCTTTTACAAAATTAAAATATGAGTGTTATTTGATTATGGCAAAATGACCTAGAATTGAGACATTTCCATTAATATCTCCAGTTCTATACATCCCCCTGCAATGAAATGCATATCATTAGATTCCTCTTGGTGAGAGAAATGTTTTGATAGCTCATACACAGCTGTATTTAGGATATTTCTGTTCTAAAAATTTAAAATATGTGTGTTATTTGATTATGCCAAAATGACCTAGAATTGAGAGATTTCCGCACATATCTCCAATTCTATACATCCCCCTGCAATGCAATGCATATCATTAGATTTCTCTTGGTGAGAGGAATCTTTTGATAGGTCATACATAGCTGTACATAACATATTTCCCTTTTAAAAATTAAAATTATGAGTGTTATTCGATTATCTCAAAATGATTTAGAATTGAGACATTTCCACTAATATCTTTAATTCTATACATTCTCCTACAATGAAATGCATATAATTAGATTCCTCTTGGTGAGAAGAATCTTTAGATAGATCATACATAGCTTTACATAGCATATTTCGGTTTTAAAAATTAAAAATACGAGTTTTATTTGATTATCTCAAAATGACTAAGAATTGAGACATTTCCACTAATATCTCCAGTTCTATACATCCCCCTGCAATGAAATGCATATCATTATATTCCTCTTGGTGAGAGAAATCTTTTGATAGCTCATACATAGCTGTACTTCGCATATTTCGCTTTTAAAAATTAAAAATATGAGTGTTATTCGATTATCTCAAAATGACCTAGAATTGAGACATTTCCACTAATATCTTTAATTCTATACATTCTCCTGCAATGAAATGCATATAATTAGATTCCTCTTGGTGAGAAGAATCTTTTGATAGCTCATACATAGCTGTACTTGGCATATTTCGGGTTTAAAAATTAAAAATACGAGTGTTATTCGATTATCTCAAAATGACTAGGAATTGAGACATTTCCACTAATATCTCCAGTTCTATACATTCCCCTGCAATGAAATGCATATCATTAGATTCCTCTTGGTGAGAGAAAGCTTTTGATAGCTCATACATAGCTGTACATAGCATATTTCGCTTTTTAAAAAAAAAATATGAGTGTTATTCGATTATCTCAAAATGACCTTGAATTGAGACATTTACACTAATATCGCCAGTTCTATACATTCTCCTGCAATGAATGGCATATCATTAGATTTGTCTTGGTGAGAGAAATCTTTTGATAGCTCATACATAGCTGTACATAGCATATTTCGCTTTTAAAAATTAAAAATATGAGTGTTATTCAATCATCTCAAAATGACCTAGAAATGAGACATTTCCACTAATATCTGGAGTTCTATACATTCTCCTGCAATGAAATGCATATCATTAGATTCCTCTTGGTGAGATAAATTTTTTGATAGCTCATACATAGCTGTATTTAGGATATTTCTGTTCTAAAAATTTAAAATATGAGTGTTATTTGATTATGCCAAAATGACCTAGAATTGAGAGATTTCCGCACATATCTCCAATTCTATACATCCTCCTGCAATGCAATGCATATCATTAGATTCCTCTTGTTGGGAGGAATCTTTTGATAGGTCATACATAGCTGTACATAACATATTTCGCTTTTAAAAATTAAAAATATGAGTGTTATTCGATTATCTCAAAATGACCTAGAATTTGAGACATTTCCACTAATATCTTTAATTCTATACATTCTCTTGCAATGAAATGCATATAATTAGATTCCTCTTGGTGAGAAGAATCTTTAGATAGCTCATACATAGCTGTACTTGGCATATTTCGAGTTTAAAAATTAAAAATACGAGTGTTATTCGATTATCTCAAAATGACCAAGAATTGAGACATTTCCACTAATATCTCCAGTTCTATACATTCCCCTGCAATGAAATGCATATCATTAGATTCTTCTTGGGAGAGAAATCTTTTGATAGCTCATACATAGCTTTACATAGCATATTTCGCTTTTAAAAATTAAAAAATACGAGTTTTATTCGATTATCTCAAAATGACCTAGAATTGAGACATTTCCACTAGTATCTCCAGTTCTATACATCCCCCTGCAATGAAATGCATATCATTAGATTCCTCTTGGTGAGAGAAATGTTTTGATAGCTCATACACAGCTGTATTTAGGATATTTCTGTTCTAAAAATTTAAAATATGAGTGTTATTTGATTATGCCAAAATGACCTAGAATTGAGAGATTTCCGCACATATCTCCAATTCTATTCATCTCCCTGCAATGAAATGCATATCATTAGATTCCTCTTGGTGAGAGAAATCTTTTGATAGCTCATACATAGCTGTACATAACATATTTCGCTTTTAAAAATGAAAAATATGAGTGTTATTCGATTATCTCAAAATGACTAGGAATTGAGACATTTCCACTAATATCTCCAGTTCTATACATTCCCCTGCAATGAAATGCATATCATTAGATTCCTCTTGGTGAGAGAAAGCTTTTGATAGCTCATACATAGCTGTACATAGCATATTTCGCTTTTTAAAATTAAAAATATGAGTGTTATTCGATTATCTCAAAATGACCTTGAATTGAGACATTTACACTAATATCGCCAGTTCTATACATTCTCCTGCAATGAATGGCAATCATTAGATTTGTCTTGGTGAGAGAAATCTTTTGATAGCTCATACATAGCTGTACATAGCATATTTCGCTTTTAAAAATTAAAAATATGAGTGTTATTCAATCATCTCAAAATGACCTAGAAATGAGACATTTCCACTAATATCTGGAGTTCTATACATTCTCCTGCAATGAAATGCATATCATTAGATTCCTCTTGGTGAGATAAATTTTTTGATAGCTCATACATAGCTGTATTTAGGATATTTCTGTTCTAAAAATTTAAAATATGAGTGTTATTTGATTATGCCAAAATGACCTAGAATTGAGAGATTTCCGCACATATCTCCAATTCTATACATCCTCCTGCAATGCAATGCATATCATTAGATTCCTCTTGTTGGGAGGAATCTTTTGATAGGTCATACATAGCTGTACATAACATATTTCGCTTTTAAAAATTAAAAATATGAGTGTTATTCGATTATCTCAAAATGACCTAGAATTTGAGACATTTCCACTAATATCTTTAATTCTATACATTCTCTTGCAATGAAATGCATATAATTAGATTCCTCTTGGTGAGAAGAATCTTTAGATAGCTCATACATAGCTGTACTTGGCATATTTCGAGTTTAAAAATTAAAAATACGAGTGTTATTCGATTATCTCAAAATGACCAAGAATTGAGACATTTCCACTAATATCTCCAGTTCTATACATTCCCCTGCAATGAAATGCATATCATTAGATTCTTCTTGGGGAGAGAAATCTTTTGATAGCTCATACATAGCTTTACATAGCATATTTCGCTTTTAAAAATTAAAAATACGAGTTTTATTCGATTATCTCAAAATGACCTAGAATTGAGACATTTCCACTAGTATCTCCAGTTCTATACATCCCCCTGCAATGAAATGCATATCATTAGATTCCTCTTGGTGAGAGAAATGTTTTGATAGCTCATACACAGCTGTATTTAGGATATTTCTGTTCTAAAAATTTAAAATATGAGTGTTATTTGATTATGCCAAAATGACCTAGAATTGAGAGATTTCCGCACATATCTCCAATTCTATTCATCTCCCTGCAATGAAATGCATATCATTAGATTCCTCTTGGTGAGAGAAATCTTTTGATAGCTCATACATAGCTGTACATAACATATTTCGCTTTTAAAAATGAAAAATATGAGTGTTATTCGATTATCTCAAAATGACTAGGAATTGAGACATTTCCACTAATATCTCCAGTTCTATACATTCCCCTGCAATGAAATGCATATCATTAGATTCCTCTTGGTGAGAGAAAGCTTTTGATAGCTCATACATAGCTGTACATAGCATATTTCGCTTTTTAAAATTAAAAATATGAGTGTTATTCGATTATCTCAAAATGACCTTGAATTGAGACATTTACACTAATATCGCCAGTTCTATACATTCCCCTGCAATGAATGGCATATCATTAGATTTGTCTTGGTGAGAGAAATCTTTTGATAGCTCATACATAGCTGTACATAGCATATTTCGCTTTTAAAAATTAAAAATATGAGTGTTATTCAATCATCTCAAAATGACCTAGAAATGAGACATTTCCACTAATATCTGGAGTTCTATACATTCTCCTGCAATGAAATGCATATCATTAGATTCCTCTTGGTGAGATAAATTTTTTGATAGCTCATACATAGCTGTATTTAGGATATTTCTGTTCTAAAAATTTAAAATATGAGTGTTATTTGATTATGTTAAATTGACCTAGAATTGAGAGATTTCCGCACATATCTCCAATTCTATTCATCTCCCTGCAATGAAATGCATATCATTAGATTCCTCTTGGTGAGAGAAATCTTTTGATAGCTCATACATAGCTGTACATAACATATGTCGCTTTTAAAAATTAAAAATATGAGTGTTATTCGATTATCTCAAAATGACCTAAAATTGAGACATTTCCACTAATATTTTTAATTCTATACATTCTCCTGCAATGAAATGCATATAATTAGATTCCTCTTTGTGAGAAGAATCTTTTGATAGCTCATACATAACTGTACTTGGCATATTTCGGGTTTAAAAATTAAAACTACGAGTGTTATTCAATTATCTCAAAATGACTAAGAATTGAGACATTTCCGCTAATATCTCCAGTTCTATACATCCCCCTGCAATGAAATGCATATCAATAGATTCCTCTTGGTGCGAGAAATCTTTTGATAGCTGATACGTAGCTTTACATAGCATATTTCGCTTTTAAAAATTAAAAATACGAGTTTTATTCGATTATCTCAAAATGACTAAGAATTGAGACATTTCCACTAATATCTCCAGTTCTATACATTCTCCTGCAATGAAATGCATATCATTAGATTCGTCTTGGTGAGAGAAATCTTTTGATAGCTGATACATAGCTTTACATAGCATATTTCGCTTTTAAAAATCAAAAATACGAGTTTTATTCGATTATCTCAAAATGACCTTGAATTGAGACATTTACACTAATATCGCCAGTTCTATACATTCTCCTGCAATGAACACGCCGGGTCAGCAAATCCGAAAAATGTGTCATGAGCGTCAGCGCTACTAAGCTATATCGCTCTGCGGTCGTTCGTCAAAAAGTAAACAAATTTGAAAATGGCGTCGGGCAAAGAACGCTTCACTGTTGACGAGGTTATTGAAGCCGTTTCGTTTGAGAAAGATGATGCTATTTCTACCGAAAATAATACCAGTTCATTTAACAATGTTTTAAATGAATCACTGGAATTGTTTAATCGGTGTGATGGCACAATTGACGTGGCAAAATTTCAAAGCGAAGCTCGGGCATCCCTTGAGTTAATCTATAAAAGATGCCTCTTAAACAAAGGTCCAGAGAACCATTTAGATGTACTTTCTGGTACCAATATTCGCACTGGGCCGATGCTTGCTTCTGAAGTTTCGGTTTGGGTAAAATTGGTGAATCGAAGGATGGCTTATAAGCCGAAACTTCACAAGCCGTGGTCATCGAATTTGCGCGCGATATGCCAAAGGCTTTATTTGATGCCTTTCGGTGCGGCGTAAGCGGTGGTTCTACCTCGTTTGGTATTTTAGTTGATGCTGGCTGTGTCAAATATACAGATACCAGGAGGATGGTACGTGATTTTGCCAAAATTTCTGGGCTTTCTGGCAAGATATTCAGCAAAGATGGAAAAAGGAATTTAAGGGGCGGCAGAATGGTTGTAAGGCAGAACTGTTATGTACAGAGACGAAACCTTTTGCTTTAAAATATGATGAAAAGAAAATCAAGGTTTTTGTATCATGTTATTATGGCTGTTGGAACCAGTTTGGATATGCCTTTCACAGCTAGTTTATATTATAATTGCTGTTACATTTAAATCCTCATTGCACACAAAAAACTCAAAGTGTTAAGTCTAGTTGAATCCATACAAAGAAAATAATGAAGTTATTTAATTGACCCAAAAGAGATTTAGGCTGCATTTCTCCTGAGAGAAATCCAGTCTTAATGTGCAAGGTGATTCAAGCTGTTTTGAGTTGCTATAATAGCTCTATTTTGCATAAACATTTTCATGATCTCTTCAAAATTCTGCCTTACAACAATACCAGTATATACCTTATTCATTTATATGCAAAGCCCAGAAATTTAAGGTAACACTATACTATTTCTCAGGCCATTGAGTGACATTGCACCATGATACACCCTGTTTTAGTACTTACTCTGTCTAATGTCAGATGATTTTACTTGTTATGGTTAATTCATATAGTTCCAGTGCTCTCCCCTTACAAGTAAAATCATCTGGCAGTTCTGTGTAGACAGAGTAAATACTAAGGTAGGGTGCATCAGGGCACAATGTGATACAATGGGTTAACTGGCCCATGTGCCTAATTAATTGGGTGGAATTGTACCCTGATTTACCCTACTTTAGTCTCTGCCCAGTCTAATGCCAGCAGATTTCCCTAGTAAAGATGAGAGCCCTTGCGCTAAAGCAGAAGCAACTGAGATACCAAATATGTACTCATGTGAACATGAGTATATAAATATACACCAATTATTGCATGTAGCTTTGGCATTGGAAACAAATATATTTAATAGAATATTCACACCTTTGCAATTAGCAGTTATGGCAAATATTCTAATATTTCATCATTTCAAGAATTATCAGAAATTAAAACATTATTATATATATGAATATACACAATCGTTATCATAATAATATTTACAAATGTTATATTAAAATAATGACACATCTTAAATTTATGTAAGTGTGCCCTTTTCAATAAAAAATATTTTTAGAAAAACTCTTTGTATTATTTGAAACTTTGGCCTTTCCTAGCTTTTTGATATTTCATCACTAAAAAATGAGATTATTCTAATTACATAGTATAATATATTATTGAGCAATAGCAAAAGAAAGAAAATGAATAGATAATATGTACACACAGTAATGGAAATGTACACAGACACTGCACAGGTTAAAAACATTTTTACCATTTGTACAAGTATTCAGACTGCATAAACTTGAACAACAAGCAAATCGAAATTCATGTTCAGTATAAATATCTGAGATTCCTTTGAAATGTTAGCATTTGAACATGCATTTGCCCAACTCATCTAAATTAAGCTTCATACTCTAGTTACATACTTTAATGTTAAACATCATAAAGCACGAGTTTTTAATATACTCTTTTGCAAGTGAATTAAGAAGCTAACTGACCAATTGGATTTTAAAGTATCCAAATATTTCACATTTAGATATCCAACAGAATTTCATGTTGCAACTGGTCAGTTAATTAATAATTCAGTTACTATCTCAGCTTTTTGTACACTTTTATCAATTAAAGCTGTTACATTATGGCCACAGAAAGTACACTTCTCATCATCAGACGATACCTTCTCTAATCCACAATAACAATATTTTGGGTCATTAACAGCTTTCTCAGGGATGTAGTTATCCTTGCCTGGTGTATTGGAGCATGGTTCATGGCCATGCTCTGGGAGCCAAACTAACATTATATATTCATGCCTAAATATTTCACTCCAGCGGTTCTGATAGGTTGTGTTGGCACTTAGTCGCTGTAGAGCAATGTGCTTAGCTTCCCGTCCCTCCATAGAAACAGTAAGAAGACCCTGACAATATGTATCATACATGTACTTTGTATGCACTGGTACTACATGACCTATTGTCCATATAGTAGGTGTTACTTGTGTTGGTACAAATAGAGAATTTGCACGAAAGTATTCCAATGCTGCTTTAGATAAATCACTAATGTTAGTTTCATTAATAATAAACCTATTAAAAAGAGAGCAAGCATCTCTCAACCTTAGGCCAATGTATGCAAGTACCAAGACATTCTGCTGCTGTGCTCGGGAATCACTTGAATCACTCATTGCTTTGATCAGCCGCATGAAGTTATGACAGAAAAGCCTGGAATCTTTGCCGGTGAAGCGATAAGCGAAATCTGCTCGGTGAGCTTGAGTTTCATTATACCACTTTATTGCTTTCTTCGCCACCCGGTTTGCCTTAACTTCATATTGCAGAGCAAAGACAACTTTCGCAAAGCAGGAATGTCTTGGCACATCTGAAAATGACTTGCATGTTTCTATGTTTGATTTACCAATTGATTCGCGCAGAACTGCTTTAAAGAAATACTGCCATGCATTATTCTTCAAGTGAAGGGGTTCTACATGGGCTTTGTCAATCAATTTACCAATCAATGGTGCATATTCTTGACGACTCTTCCTTTTGGCAATGAAATCTGTCACCTTCGAACGCTTAGTCTTATCAGAGACAGTCTTTTTCTTCAGAGAGTCTTTAAATTTTTCCACAGCAGCAGCAGTCTTAATTCTGTCCTGATAAGACCAAGCCTTCCAGGTACAAGAAGGTCCCTTTCCGAAAGTTCCTTTTACATCGCGACAGTTATCAAGAGTTGCATTGCCAAAAGTAGAGAAATATGTTGCTGCATTATTTAACTCTCCACCAAACATAGCCAGCATTTTCATATCATTGGGAATTTCCTCAAATGAAAATGTGACAGACAGACCATTGATTTCAAATATGTTCCCCTGTAGGTCTGCCATCTGCTTACATGTGGCAAGTATGTATTTTCTAACAATTAATGATGTTTCCTCGCAGTCTGCCCCAAACACAAGAAAATTATCACTACTTGAGACTACTCGCTTGCCTGCATTAAGAAAACTAATGAGAAAAGAACAAGCACTACCATTTTTGCCAAATGGACACCCATCACCTCCCCATGCAACAAGAAAGGTACCCACGGGTTTACCAAACCAATTTAAAGCTTTAGCACGGGTCCCAGTACTTAGGTAAAATCTAGCTAATCGGGGCAAATATTCTCCCAAATCCCTAAAACAACCATTCACCTTCTATATAATCATCAAACATCTCCTCCACAGAATACACCTTCCCAATATTAATTTCTTTAAGCTTAGCAGCTAACTTATTGTAGGTAAGGAGTTTCGGAATGGGACATTTAGACATAAAAGTAATTGCTGTTCTTTTAGCATTTACAAACTTCATTGTAGAGGATAATCGTACGGCTTGGTACTTCCTTTTACCCATTACCCCAGCAGTATAATATGTGGCTATGCTCCTTAAGTTATTTGCCTCACTAGCTTCAAATGCTAACCTGTCTTTCTTTTGCTTTTGCTCAATAACATAGGAAGTGAGCTTATCATTAGACAATACATAGTTACCAAGATCATCTAATTTACACTTCTTGCTGAGCGTATCAAAAAGACCATTGAAGGCTGGTCGTTTGTTGAGCAAAGTTCCACCATTTATAGATAATGCAGCAACGAATGTCTCTTCTCTTCGCCTTGAGAGGGTTGACCTTGACGCAGCATTATTTTGTTGGTTGTTTGGTGGTGTTGGTGTTCTAATAGGATACCTTAGCTGTTTAAAAGAAACGTCATGATGACAATATACAGATTGTCAATATAACAGTCTTTTTTCAAACAATTTACTATACTACATTATATCTATGATTGCGTTTACATCATACCGGTTCGCTCGTCAGGTTTAATACCTACAGAATTTGGCCTCCTGCGATAGGAATCCGATATCGTACAGAACGTATATTCAATTGCATTGTTAATTGCAAGTAAAGTATTCATACTTACATTGACTTCTTTTGGCAGTTTGTTCACCTCTTGCAGCAATGCCTCAGATTTTGACGATGTTCTGCTTAGCTAAAAATAAATAAATAATTAAACTGCAAGTTATGCCCGCTTAAAATGCAAAACATGAATAACACGAAATTGTAAACAATGTCAATGGGGGTCATAGGTTAAGGGTCTATCTGCTATATATACTACATTATAAAAATGCGTCTACCTTTGACTTCAACCTTCGTACTTTCTGCTGTTTCCCTCTGATTTCTTTTTTAAGGACAGATTTCTCTGCTGCAAGCAAGGCGTTCTGTGCCTTCTTAGCATTCATAAATTCAGCTACTGGGAATCGGTTGTTTCTCCTACTCGGCATTTTCCACTAATATTAAAGCTACCAATATAAACAACACAGCTTATTATATGGCTGGAAATTGAATCATTTATCGACTAAACAACATATCTTTATCTGCGGAGGAGGAAAAACGCGAAAAATAATATATAAGGGTTCTTACATTGACAATTAGGAATCCCAGAAGCACACACACATCTTATTTATACTGATTCATGCCAGCATATCATGTGCTACAGTTTCTACATAAAAGTTCACGGTCGGCACTAGATCATAGACAACATACGCACATATCTGAAACTGCTATATATAATGGTCAGCGGGTGCCCTAACTTGATTTCATAATAAAATACCGCAAAATACCGCGCGAAAATTGGAAAATTGGCTCGAAGGAAAGCAAAATATTATATCCCTGCAAAGGATATTGATGAATCATTCTGTGACATAGTTGGTCGTAATATCCTTCAAGTTTCAACAATTCATCTAATGTCCCACTGGAACCTTAATTGAATAACTGCATATAAACAGTATAACCTATGTACATTTGAGTGCATTGTTAATACCATAAAGTTGCATATTCCTCTGATTACAAGGCCTGAGCTAAAAAAACGTGGTGGGAAATGCAGCCTACTTTAGAATTTACTCTATCTATTAACGCCAGGCGATTTCACTTGTCAGTGGTAGAGTACTGGTGGTTAATTAATTGGTTAAAAATATGTCTTAGTGTGTATGTACAACATGTTATACCCATTCAAGGCTCACATTTTCCAACACCCTTCAACTTGCAGTCATTTTGTTATTAGATCAAAAATTCTAAATTTATCACGGGGGGAATCTCCTGGGAGGGCAAAATTCCTGTTACACCAGTAAGTTATAGTATACAAATGCCTGTAAACAAAATGATCAAGCAGCAGTGCAATAGCAAATACTGAAATACAGAGGGCTTATATTCGAGAAGGGATATATATATATATATATATATATATATATATATATATGTCTATTGTAATACTGAACCCTATAGGCTATAGATAAAAATAATGTACTACAATTACACGAAAAGAAATAAGATTTATAAATATTGCTAAAACCTAAATTACATAATAATGAATTTTAACGTTATAATAATAATAATAAAGAGTTTATGATGGCATATCCATAATCCATATTACATGATATCTTCATCCATAATGTTAAAACTAACAAACTATGATATTATACGAGGAAAGGGTATTTGAGAAATCTATCTTTGTAAATGACTTGAGCAATTCATTTTGTAATACTAATTATTAAATACAGTCTATTTGTATCGTCCTGAGTTGTATAAAAATACAAAATGTATATTATTTTATACAAAGTATTTTAAATATAATAAGACCACATTTATATTAAGTATCAGGCAAATGCAACATCGCTGATCGTTATGTATAGCAGTTTCAGATATGTGCGTATGTTGTCTATGATCTAGTGCCGACCAAAGTTCACATATTCATATTCAACATGGTGGTTTGTCAAAAAGTTGACACATTAAATTTAATATTTCAGCTAAATGCAAGATAAAGACGAAAAACAAAAAACATACGATTCTTACCTCAATAACAGGCATTCTATCAAGCGCCCATATATCTTGTTTATACATGAAACGCAAAAGTTTTATGGAGCCGAAATACGGCTATTTTTATAATAAATTCACATTACGCAAATAGGTTACTTTGTCTTGGATTGCATGAAGGCGTAAGGACAATTTAAATGGTTATATTGGGTACCAATTTGAAGCGCAAATTACGAACTTTTAAATTTTCCCTCCAATATTTCCGTACCCCGTATCAATTTCGCACAAACGCTGCATATTTACGTAGTTACTTCCTAGTAACCAGACTTCCTCCCAAACACGCGCGGTTCAACAAAATTTTTGGCTTCAACGCCATGACACATTTTTTGAACTTGCTGACCCGGCGTGGAAATGCATATCATTAGATTCCTCTTGGTGAGAGAAATCTTTTGATAAATCATACATAGCTGTACATAGCACAGTTCCTTTTAAAAATAAAAAAATACTAATGTTGGATTATCTCAAAATGACCTAGAGTTGATACATTTTTACTAATATCTCCAGTTCTATACATTCCCCTGCAATGAAATGCATAGCTCATACACAGCTGTATTTAGCATATTTCTTTCCTACAAATTTAAAATATGAGTGTCATTTTATTTTGCCAAAATGACCTAGAATTGAGACATTTCCACTATACATTCCCCTGCAATGAAATGCATATCATTAGATGCCTCTTGGTGAGAGGAATCTTTTGATAGCTCATACATTGCTGTACTTAGCATATTTCCTGGGTGTGATCCTGGGTGGTTGTTGTCGTGGTTGTCGTGGTTGTCGAGGTGCTGTGGGTCGTCGTGGAGCGTCCTTGTGGTTGTCTGCAGGCAAATAGTCACAAGGGAGAAGTAGATTGCGGTGTAAAACTCTCTTTTCTGACTCAACTTCGTAGACGGGACTATTGGAACAAGGCCGCTTGACCACAATGTAGATGTTGTTCTTCCAAAATGATCTTAGTTTACCCGGTCCACCTTGTTCGCTAAGATTTTGTACCAACACGCAATCTTCTGGTTCCAGAACCGAGCTTCGAACCCATTTATCGTAGCCTGTCTTTGCTCGATCACTCTTTTCCCTAATTTACCTTCCAGCCAGTTGGTACACTTCATCCATCAATTTTTTCCATTCCTTAGCGTATTGTGGGTAGTCGTGTTTTGTAGATGGTGTTTGAGTTTGGAAAATTAGATAAATAGGTAGGCAAGGGTGTCGTGCAAAGAGTAAGAAAAAGGGAGAAAAACCAGTCGTATCGTTGCGGGTGCTATTATATGCACGACGTTACTGACATGATCTTTCCAGCGTGATTTTTCAGTCTTCGGTAGAGTACAAAGCATATCTAGCAGTGTTCTGTTGAACCGTTCGACCTGTCTGTTTCCTTGAGGGTGGTATGGGATTGTACGGCAGTGTTGAACACCACACAGATTTTCCAGCCTTCTCATCAGATGGTTCTTGAATTCTCCGCCTTGATCATGGTGGATCTTTGATGGGAAGCCAAAACGAAGTATGTAATCGTTGTATAGTTTCTCGGCCACAGTCTTTGCTGACTTATTCGAGTTGGGTTAGCTTGGGCATACCTTGTAAAATGGTCAACAATAATCAGGATACTCATACCCGCCGCTCGATTTTTCAAGGTGGATAAAGTCGAGGGACACTAATTTAAATGGTGAGGTTGTGATGATGGGTTGAAGAGGGGCTCTCGGTTTGAGTCGTGGTGGTTTCTGCTTTACACAACGGCAGACATTTCGGAAGTAATGCTCGACGTCTCTTTGCATCCGTGGCCAATAAAAGTGATCTGGTGCTAAATGTAAGACACGCTCAGATCCAGGATGGGCCATGTTGTCCTGCAATTCTCTCAAAACCGTCTTGTGGTACTTTGTAGGGAGTATAATTTGATTAGGTAAGCCATTCTTTTGCCATAGAACACCATCGTTGTCAATAAACAGCTTTAACCATTCATGTAGAAGTAGCTTGGTCTCAGGCAATTCCCCTACTTTCCAAGATGTCGGGGGTCGTTGTTGTTTTTTAACGAAATCGTACACGGCATCTATAACAGGATCGTTAAGTTGTGACCGGATGTTACCAACGCCAAACTGTTGACCATTACCAGGAATTGGCTTAAGATCATCTTCGTGGAGTGTAGCTGGATCAGTTGTAAGTGATGATACCCAGTTTATTTGCGCATTGTCTTGCAACTGTACCGACTGGATCAGCGCCCATAACTCATCTTGGCACGTCTCCTCGGTGCACGATACCATGTACTGATTCATGTTTTTTGGTGGTCAGGAAAGAGTATCTGCATCAGTGTTGGTTTTTCCTGGACGATAACGGATGGTAAAGTTAAAGTTGGCTAATTCTCCTATCCAACCAAGACCAGTTGCGTTGAGTTTAGATGAAGAAAGGACGCACGTCAACTGGTTATTATATGTATACACGACAAAGCTTGGAGAGTAGTACAAGTAGTCTCGGAACTGTTCACAAATAGCCCATTTTAGTGCCAAGAATTCTAGTTTGCCAGAATGAAGATGATAATTTTTCTCTGCTGGTGTCAATGTTCTTGAGCCATAAGCAATCACACGTAGAATACCATCCTGTTCTTGGTAAAGTACTGCTCCAAGTCCACATTCGGATGCATCGGTATGTAGTACGTAAGCTGTATTAGGATCTGGGTAGGCCATCACTAGTGCACTCACGAGACATCCAATAAGCTCTACAAGGATAGTTTGGTGTGTTGACGGCCAGGAAATGGGTTGGTTACCTGAGTTACCACTGCCTCTGTTCTTTGTTTTCACTTTCGGCGAATCATTCTAACGAAGGTCACCTAAGCACGTCTCCATAAGGTGTAATGAATGCTGTGAGGGCTGACTCTCGGGTTACAGAAATCCTTGATGGTACGCTTTGCCTTGATCTAGTACGGAAAACCAGGAACTTTCTCCAAAATTATCCAAAGTCTCCTGAATTCTAGGTATAGGGTGGCAATCCACACAAGTCTTTTTGTTTAATTCCCGATAGTCAACACAGAGCCGTAGACTTTGGTCTTTCTTCCTCACACACACAACAGGAGAGCTGTATGACGACTTCAACTTTCGGAAGAAATTGCGATTCAGTAGATCTTTGATGTACGCCTTCACTTCTGGATAAAGAGGTTGAGGAACGGCAACATAGTTCTTTTGTACGGGTGTGGTGTCACTTAGCTGAATGTTCATTTCAAGATTTGGGATGAGTCGTATGTCGTCATCATTCTGAGAGAATGCATCCGCTTGTTCAACAAGGAGTTGAGACGCGAGTTTTCTCTGCTCACTTGTTAGGTCCCCTAGATCAACATCTTTTAAATGAGCAGGCAGACTGAGGTTTGCCGCAACTGGGTCCACTGTGGTATTACATTGTCTATTTCCCTGACAAGATGTTTGACTTTTCAGATCATCTT